TTGCGGATGTTTGTGTGATTTATACCGTCCCTTGACCTGCAAAACGTAGCGAAATAAAGATTCCAGTAAAATTTAGTATGATGCAGGCGTTATTATTAACATATTAACATCCAAAGCATAGAAAGGAAAATTTTTATGCAATTTTTATTTCAATGTTAGTGTCCAAAACTGTAGATTTGCATAGGCATCCACAATCTAGTCATGACCGTAAAAGTCACGATCGTTAAGGTACGTGTCCACGTGACAGTAAATCGTGACTTTTACGGGGATGACGCTAAAGGTACGTTTTCACGTGACAGCGAAAGTCATGACTTCCGTTGTCGTGACACAGTATGACAATGTAAACCACGGTCACGACGACGCGACATCTAGTTTCTCATAACAAAAGTCATACGATTTAGTGTCATCACGGTGGAAATCACGATTTACTGTCACGTGGAAACGCACCTTAAATGTTACCACTTCTATAGCCCATGGAAACTATTCCAAACGTTTCCATTATCATACAGTGTCACGACAAAACTATAACTGTTACTGTCACGTGAAAACGCACCTTTATTGTCACTTGAAAACGTACCTTTATCGTCACTTGAAAAGGTACCTTTAGTGTCACGTGAACACGTACCTTAACGATCGTGAACCGAGGAACGAACGAAAGAGAGCACCGCGGCCCTCCCTTTAACCGTGGTTCATGTTCGCGAGGGGGATTCACCACGGTTCGGAAGCGTAACCGATGATTGTTCGAGCTTCCGATTATTATCGATTTCCGGCTTCGGGAAGTTCGCCGCGCAGCTGGTTTCCCGTGGTTCCCCCGGAACAATTAGCACGGTTATCCGAGGAGACGGAAACTTTCTTGTAGATTATATCCTATTTTCGGGCACTTGCATATGGGAGTTCTGGAATTGCGCAAGGTTTATTGGCGGTGGAGCAGGAAATTGTTTCCTGTCCCATTGGAGAGTACGCGAGATGGGAAAGAGGATATTCGTGACACGAAAATTTCACTGTTCGCAGATGTTCGCGTATTAGCCCGGTTACACGTTTATATGATTTTTCGCAGACTGACTTCGGCATTACACGTTCAGTCTACCTCGTATAGTTATTTTACATATGTAGGTATACATAATATTTATATATACAGGGTGAACCACGAATCGCGATCGTGATGAAAATGTTTTTATCAGGTATAGCATGGTTTCAAGAGAGCTTTAACGTGATTATAGCAAATTTTTTGTCAACTCTTTTTTTTTCATGATTTTTCAAGGTTACCTTTAATTTTTTGCAAATAGACCTATCATTTTTTTACGCCTATCTATTAGGGGATTTCAAGACGAATTCGGTAAGTATCATAGCATAACTTTTACCTTAATTTTTTAATTATATGTATTATATTAATTATTATATAAAATAATAATAAATTAATAAAATTGACAAAATATTTGCTATAATTGCGTTAAAGCTCTCTTGAAACCATGTTATACCTGATAAAAACATTTTCGATCGGACTGTTAATAATAATAGTAATCTCTACCGATCATGATTCGTGGTTCACCCGGTCAGTTTGCGCAAATTATTTAAATGTGTAAACCGTGCCTTATGGTTCAACCTCTTGCGAATTTATTATAAATCCTGGCACACGGTTTGTGAGTCTTTTTTGACCCAATCGTGTATTTGTTTCTTTAACCTCTTGAGGGATATTGGAATACATACAATACCGAACAAAAGTATGGAACTAGGTCTGATATTTAATTGAGTCCATTCTACTTTGTGTGATATATAACGACGTCAAACTTCTACAATTTTTTGTCGTACAAATTAACAAGCGTATTTTTGTATGTCAACTGTTCATTATTTTTTGCTTTATAAAATTATATTTTATAGATTTTTAAAATAGAAGAAATAATGAACATTTGATACACAAAAAATATGAAAACACGCTTATTAGTGGGTAATATAAAAATTCGAGAAGTTTGACGTCATTATACATCACATAAAGTCGAATGGACCCTCAAAGAAACAGGAAAATATTATTCTACAAAGATTTGATGAAAAAATTATTTTCTCCTTGCGATCTTAATAAATTCTTCCCTGAAGAGGTTAACATCGCTGCAACCTTTCAGAGTTTGTGTATTATTGATCGCGTTCTAGATTCTTTGAAAATGTTTTTATATTTCAGAAGCGTAGACGGAAATGAATAGTTGAATGAGTTTTGAATGGTTCTCGTACTTTCAATCTCGAAAGTGCAGTAGCTGCTATTTAGTGTACAGGGTGGTCCGTTATTGGTGGTACAACCGACGAGGAAATGATTCTTCTTGAAAGAGAATTAAAATTGTGGCAAATAGTATTTTGATTTTGTACAAAATCTTACCTATAAACTTGTGGATACTCAATAATGTCTTCTTGGTTATTGTGTCTGTTCATTACTCACCATTTCTACTTACATAAGCATGAATCAGAGTTGGGTATAATTTTATTCGTATGTAATAGCTTCATCTAAATTTTATAAGCAATTAATTCGAGTGAAACCAGCTGCTTAAATACGTGTTTACTGATTCAAAGAGAAACATTTTCCTTTTATAATTATCTTCTGGCCGTTATCCAAAAGTCCCTCTTTGGATAATAAATGTGTCCATCACAGAAAAGATTATACACGTGACAGATAAATTTTCAAAGACAATTTCTCCAAATATGCATCCTCATATGAACAAATTTGTAGACGTATTTTCTCCCGAAGAATCACTCTCGTGTCCTTCGTACCACCAATACACATACACGTGACAGATAAATTTTCAAAGACAATTTCTCCAAATATGCATCCTCATATGAACAAATTTATAGACGTATCTTCTCCCGAAGAATCACTCTCGTGTCCTTCGTACCACCAATACACAGGATCTCCCTGTACACAGACCACAATTTCATTAAAATTCTCCACAAATTGGTCATTCCTGGCTAGAAAAAGTTCACCCTCAAATTCCGAAACCACGATAAAATATTCAATTGTACCCCAGGTACAATTCAAATTCAAATCAAAAGGACCGTAAACCACGAAGATTACCGACGAGATACTGCCGAAAGGACAACCATATTATTCCATGTCCCAGAAATCCGCTCATTTCCATTTACCAGTCGTGTCGAGGTTCCTCGTGGAGGATCGAACCTCTGGTAATTGATCTCTGGTCCGAGTACAGGCCAGCGCTGGGCAAAATTGACTCCTGGAAGTTAAACTCCGTCCGTCGTTATCATGGACTAACAGAGACAAGAGTCTGAGCTCCTTTGTCTATGAAGGCACATGGAACGAAAGAAAGATTAGAAGGGGAAGAAGATGTATGATGGGTTCCTACGCTGCCCAGCGCTGGAGTATAGTGCATCTTCGAGTTATAGTGACTTCAAATGTGACCCTCCTAGTTGGTGTGCTATGTGATATAGCTGCTTCAAAGATATAGCGTTAACCATAAACGTGGCCGACCCTTAAACTATTAGTACTCGATTATCGAGGGCCCATTGTGTCCCACCGCACTCAGGGTCGTACTTTCAACTATGGGGTTTCAAGGAATAAAACGAAAAGACTGGAATATTTGAAAGAAATTTACGTTTTCGTAAGCTTTCATCAAGAATAAAAAGGCCAGAAGTATTTTAAATCTGAAATTAGTACGCTATAAGAACTTCTTTAATTACATTAAAAGGGAAAAACTAATCCCAAATTGATGTCTATGCATTAATGCTCCAACAACCACTACTCGCAAAATATGTTAGTTGTTCCTGGGCACCTGACTTGCCATCGAAGCACTTAAAGATGTGAAGAATCCGAATCCCTACTGTTTTGGCAAAGTCACTATAGCTCGTGGAGGCACTATACAGACGATACATCCACTGATCTGTATATATAGGGTGTAACAAAAATGTTACTCGACCCGGAAATAGGACACTCGTGAGATGATTTGAAACAACTTTTTCCTTAGCAAGAATGTTATCCGAGGCTTCGTTACCGAAATATTAATGAGAAACCCCGACCAATCAGCGCGCGAGTATTCCGGTCGAGCTTCAGCGGTAGCGTTGGCTGGGCGCTGCGATTGATAGCTTGGAAACTACGTTGGCCACCAATCGCAGACTTCCTACCTCGGCCGGCAGACTCGCGCTCTGATTGGTTGGGGTTTTTCGTTAATATCTCGTTAACAAAGCCTCGGATAACATTCTTCCTAAAGAAAAAGTTGTTCCAAATCATCTCAGGAACCCCTCATTTCCGGGAGCCGAAGCTATTTTGGGACATTCTGTATACTGACCAGTGGGTACTCCCCAGATTCGGTTCGTTTTTATCACGCGTGGCAAGCGCATAGACATACAGTAGACTCTAACTTTAATGCCACTTTCGGGGCTGTAGGAGAGTAAAATGGCAATGAATTTAGAGGACCCTCCATGCTAAGTTCTGTCGCCATGGCGTCGGTCTCAGCGCCTGCGCAAAAGCTTGATCGTGCTGGTGCGCCGGCGTGCGTAACATGGTGGGAGAGCGAATGTGTGTGCGCGAAAGTACGAGTGAAGGGGAAGTGACTCATGCGGCAATATTTTCAGTGGCATTAAAGTTAGAGTCTACTGTATATAATAGACTGCGCGGTCTTATAGTAGGGATGAAGTCGGCACTAGAAAGAGAGGACAATAGCTAGAGTAACTTTCCTCTCTTTCTAACGGGGCTGTTGGTGGGGGATTCTCCTACGTCTGTAGTGGAGACATTACATGCGTGCAGCATCCCTTCTCCTCATCGCCCTCCAGCCGCTTTCTCCCCTCCCTCTCGATGTCCGAAGAAGAGAGCAGTCACTCCCAACGCTGCTTCTGCCCTTCGGTCTCGCTTCATCCTTACCATAAGACCGCGCAGTCTATTGTATATGTCTATGGGCAAGTGACATCGCGTAATATGTTGGGTGTAAGGACGAGATAATGGTGGTGTGTAGATGGGCGGAGGTTCGAGATAAGGCCGACGGCCATATGTACCCGATGGACCTGCTTAGGTCGCCTCGGCTAGCAGCTCGGTGGGCGCCAGTCCCACGGGATCGTCCGGGGTACTGGAGACCCCGCTGTCCGTGAAGAGTGCCGGCGCCAGTCCACCGCAGTCCAGCGGGAAACACCTGCACATTAACCTGGGGAATCAGTTCAGGGCGGGCGGCTCGCTGCCGAACGTAAACAACAACGCGAATTGCGGGACAGACGCGAAAGAGCACGCATCGCCGAACACCGCTGCTATCCACTCGATCGACCTCAAGGTACTGGACCCCCATCTGAAGCGAGTCTAGTCGCTGTGTAATAGCTGTTCTACCTTCGTTCTTTTTAGTTGCACAGTTTTTTTTTTTTTTTTGCCACTCCCACCTTGCTCCTCGTTCCTTCGTCACGACCGTGAGAACACCGTCTAGGGATGGGATCGAATGCAATCCGTTCGAAAGTGAACCGATTTCTGACACTTTGGCGCCCGATTTTTCGCCTGTAATGGCCTTAGGTCGAATGTGATATGCGACAATGGGCGTCAACGTGTTGATGAATGATTCGAAGGACAGATGCTGTTTGAGTTCTTGGGACCATAGATTCTGTAGAAAGCAGCTGTATGATTTAAATATTGGCGTGGTTAGGGCTTGTTATGGCGGAATGTGTCTATAGTTGGGACGAGTGTAAACGAAGGGAAAAGAAGGGCATAGAAGCGGTACCCCAAGTAGCATTAATATACTGTTTAGAAGTATTGCTAAAGTATTTCTTAGTTAGGAGCTGCTGAAATTCGACTTTACTTTGCTGCCAACCCGATACAAAAAAAGTGTTTTATAGTACGGTACTTTTGAACGCGCCTGTATATTCAATTCGAATCCAGCATTACTGTACGAAGACCAAAATTTTTCGACAATAATGCCATGCCAAGTGTTTCGGTAAACTATATTCCAAAAAATTACACGGTTCGCTACTTTTGAACGCAATAAGTATATTAAATTCAATTTTAGCATTACTGTGTGAAATCTAATATTTTTCGATCGTAATGTCATTCCAAATGTTCCGTAAAGTGTATTCCAAAAGGAAAAAAATGATATAGTCCACTACGTTTTAACGCACTTTACATTAAATTCGATTTACCACTGTACGAACCCAGAAATTTTTCAACACCAATATCATCTCAATTATTCAGTGTACAGTATTCCAAAAACAGACAAGGTCCACTACGTTTTAACGCACCTGTACATTAAATTCGATTTATCACTGTACGAACGAAAAATGTTTTCAACAATAATATTACCTCAATTATTGAGTATACAGTATTCCAAAAACTGACAAGGTCCGCTACGTTTTAACGCATCTTTAAATTAAATTCGATTTATCACTGTACGAACCCAAAAATTTTTCAACAACAATGTTATCTGAATTATTCAGTGAACAATATACCAAAAGAAATTATATGGTCCGGTACTTTTGAATGGAACAAGTATATCGATCTCTCGATCCCAACACTAGACGCCACTGCTGCGTTCACGCACCTTCGATCGACTTATTTATCGCAAATTGTCTCTTGATACCGGTATGTATCTCTCCACAGGATCGTGTGCAACGATTCTCCGAGTGATTCTCCGAAAATTCCGCGTTGACATTCGCTGGAACGGTCACCTCCCGCCGCGTTGGGAAGCGCGTTTCGCCGCGCGCTGAACGATATTGAGATTACGCCCCCGGTGTGTCGGCGCGATCAATTACGGGGACATTATGGGGGATCTCTCAACTTGTTGCGGGGTCGCGTTCGAAGCGTGACTCACGACTGGAGGCAACGTACGGGCCTCGCCGATCGCGTGCCTCCTTTCATTAAAACACCCGACTATTTCCAGTCGGCCGCGTAAAAATAGACGTTTCAAGATTTTCCTCTCCGCGCGGCTACTCCTTTCGATTTCTCGAGTGCTCGAGGCCGAATCCTGGCAGCCTTGTTTGTCTGCCCGGCCTGTGATCGTGAAACGATCGATGAAATGTCGTGAGATTGATGTAGGAATATTTACCGTGAACGCGCGAAATATTGTCGATGAAAGGGATACAGAGTGTGGTCGTAGGATCGATTGGAAGGTAGAATGATCGTATTTCGGGCGTTAGGTCGAAATAATTGAACGGAAACTTAACCCTTTCATTCCCAGTTAGACTCACGAATATTTCTTTTTGCATTTTCCTATATTAGATGACATGTAAATGATTCGAAAAATATTTTTTTTATTTTTAAAGCGTTTAGTGCCATTTTTCCCACAGTTATGTATAATAATTGATATTATAATGTTATTATAAAACCCAGTTTTCTTATCTTTGATCAGTGAAGACTTTTAGAAGTTCTTATTGTATTCGCTGAAAATGCTTAGCTCTTCATGTTCCAATTCAAAGACCAATAATGTGTTACTTTATCGATAAACTCTTAAATGTATATGAAAATTCGTGACATACTCAGAAGTGTAACAGTTAACTCTCTTCGTTCACAACGATCTGAACATAGTACGAGGGTTAAACAGAGGGTGGAAGCTTCAACACTGTAAATACTAATTGAAGTTTTTGTTTTATCTACTAGCAAACTAATTATCATCAATTAATCAGACTCACCTTTGAAGTGTTAACATGTGCTAATACACATACTCCTGCGAGATGACTAGGACACTTATGTCAAAGGTTCACTATACGACTACACTGAATCCTTTCCATCGACTATACGCAGTAGCTTTACAAACCACAGTAAATCATCGATGAGTGTCTGCAGGCTCCTCGTCACTGAGTGTTCGGACGTTATCCCCACCACCGGGCACTTAATTAGTTCCACAGGAAACTTCCTCCCGTGGTGGGGATGATGTCTGAATACTCAGAAGCCTTCGAACACTCATCGATGATTCACTGTACCCCGCGTTTACCAACTGTATAACGTTCGAAAATCGTCCCGACGTCGTACCCAGTCCCGCAAAACTCCACAATTTTCCCCCTCCTAGTTCCGTTTTTCTTCTCTGCGATGTTTCTGCACGATCACGCATGACACGTTTGCGTAGGCGTAGTTCTTAGTGTGAGAGAAGTTGCATCCAGGTGTCAACGAGACACCTCTCGACATCCACGTCGAAACTTTCCGAATGGAAAATGTGAATCGAACCCTCGTCGAACCCCGGTTAGTTTCGAGTTTCATCGTCCTTCTCTCTTTTTTTTGCTATCACTGTAGACACGTTCGAGTGCGACGAGTAGTCAATTTGAATTCGAAACGGTAACACGCGAACTCGGGTCAAAGTCTAGAACGCGCAGTGGTCCAGAATTAAAATTCAACAGAATTCGTTCGTTTATTTAGATCGAGGAATGAACAATTTTGAAACTTTTAATTTCATTGAAGTAGAAGCACTTCAATTATTATCAATTTAAGGGATGCTCGCCAATGACGTCATCGTTCCCTAACAGTATTAAATTTTCAAAAAGGCATTCTTTTCGAAACATGGTATATCAAGACAAATTGAATTTATATTATTACAATAATAAGTTGATGCAAGTTTTTTTTTTGGAATATGAGAAATTTGCTTTTCCTCCATTCGAGTTTTCCTGAATTTTTATTCTAGACCAATATGCAATCGTCTCGAATCCTTGGATATCCTGGATCGTTTTAAAATTACCTTGAGCTTCCCTAGTAGTCATTTTAATTTCGTTCCTTGTATCGTGTCCTGTTCGACAGCCATCATCGGCACCAATCAAAAAGCTTAGGGTGGTTTTTCACAATTCGCGACCATTTATTCATGAAAACGCAACTTTCGTCGAAGACTACTGAAACGATCGTATAACCGCGCTATCTTGATGCAATTTTTATTTCGTGTCGTGTCGGTTCGATGATTGCGGATCGGCGCCAATCGGGAAGCTTAGGGCAGTTTCCAACAATTCGCGATTGTCTGTCGGTGAAAATGCAACTTCCGTCGAAGAGGGCAGAAATCCTTGTATAACTGCGCCCTCTTGCGGCCATTTTAATTTCGTGTCGCGTCGGTTCGATGACCGCGATCGCTACCAATCAAGAAGCTCAAGGCGGTTATCCACAACTCGCGACCGTTTACTATTGAAAACGCAATTTTCGTCTAAGACGGCCGAAACGATTGTATAACCGCGTCCGCACGCGGCCTTGAAATATTTTTAAGCAACACTGTAAATAGTAAACGGCCGTCTTTAGCAGCATCGAACGGGGATTCGGAGGAATGCCTGGCGACGCTCGACCCGGGAGGGACTTCCCCGTTTCGAATTCGAGGCAACTGAGATAGAGAGAGAGAGAGCCCGAATCGCCCGACAACAGGCATCCGAACGATATTGCGTAACGGTCAACGAGCGTCAATATATCATTATAAAAAATTATCTCCAATCGCCTCTAAGGATACCACTTAATGGCCGCGTGCAGGATTTCTTGCGTGTCATTTTCGCGATCTAGGAAGCCGGGTTAGTCGTAGGAAGCCACGTAAACATGTAATTTCACCATGAAACCGTTTTAGACGTGAAGGGGGAGAGGTACACTCGCGAATTAGATTGTCACGGAAATTACAGTATCAATGGTCCCGCGAATCCGCGCTGGACGAATCGGATTACGTAACACGAGCTCGTATACGCTTTATTACTTACCCGTTTTCCCAAATAAACTAGGACGTGCGCGCGGTTAATCTCTGGGGTGGATTTTCGATCCGATTTTCGTTGATCACTTGGAGCGTCGATGTTAATACAATTTAAATTCACGTATACGTTGCAGTTCTGTACGAGTAGTCCCATTAATGAAGCAGATACCGTTTCGATTCGAGTTACTTTTTTGTGATTAAACCCGTTTACTGCATTGTTTTTGGTATGTTGTACAATAATTGTTCTCTCATAAAATTGAAAATCAGTAGTTAATACAATTTTTCTTCGTAAATATTTCTTTTCAACGAACGATGTATTTGTTCATGATAAATAACGAACTAATCGTCTTAGTAAGAACGTTTTTCTAATGCTTGGATCTTATTTAAAGTATACCGCCGATCGTCAAGAAATGTTCCAGATATTGTCACTGAATTGATAAAGTAGGCGTCTATTGTAATGGAGAAATGCAGTTAACGGGTTAACGGAAATACGAATTAGAATAAACATCCGCGATTTACCGATTACTCGACGCCTCCTGAACGTTGGACATTTTCCCTCCACGAAAGGAAACCCCGTTTCGTTCTATCTCCTCCGTCTTTTATTTAATTCGTTGATATTGTATTGTTTTTTTTTTTTTACAATAAAACGTATATTTGTTCGTTCGGTTGTTTACAGACCCGCACTCAGAAACGAGCGGAGAGTTGATCGTTATGCTAGGTGAACTAGGTTGTGTACCTGTACGGGAATCGAATGGTTTTCGTTTCACACGTTGACGCGATTTCCTGTTGTGTTGCTTTTCTTCGTTGGGGGATCGTTTCTCGTCCCGTTTCTTGATTTCACGTTGCTCGATCGTATGTAGAATTCCGTCTCGCCGTCCCGTGTACGAACTCTCGTCTCGGTTTAGATGATGAACCACAGCTGCAAGGAATATATACAGGGTGTAACAAAAATGTTGGAGGACCCGGAAATGGGAGACTCGTGAGATGATTTGAAACAACTTGTTCCTTAGCAAAAATGTTATCCGAGGCTTCGTTAACGAGATATTAACGAAAAACCGTGGCCAATCAGAGCGCGAGTCTGGCGGCCGAGTTCCCGCGGTAACGTTGATTACCAATCGCAGCGCGTAGCCAACGTTACCGCGGGAACTCGGCCGGCAGACTCGCGCTCTGATTGGTCGGGGTTTTTCGTTAATATCTCGTTAACAAAGCCTCGGATAACATTCTTGCTAAGGAAAAAGTTGTTTCAAATCATCTCACGAGTCTCCCATTTCATGGTCTTCCAACATTTTTATTACACCCTGTATACTGTTTTATAATTTACAATACAGTTTATCACCGTTGTTTTTGCGAGAACGTTCTGCACAGCTTCACGCCCGCACAAGTTCCTTTCGCGACTGCTTCTATGTGCAACAAGCGTAGATGTTAGTTGTACTCGAGTGCATGTTTATTATCGTTCGTGACGGACACGACGAATTCAGGAGGATACACCTTTTCCCCCTATTTTCGATTAATTCACGCACGTCGTAGAAGTGCGTTTGATCGATTTTTTATATGAAGCAATTTTTGAAACTCAACTTCTTTTTCTACTTAGAATCGCTTGAGTTGTTCTACTTTTATTTTTAAAAGAAATTTATCAGGTCATCTCAAGGAAAAATACGACGCTCGATTAAATCGGAACGCAACGACGAAGAGAACGGTTGATAGACGTAATCAATGTTTTAACATCGAGCTAAGTTTTGATATGTGACTATAGTCACCCTTTGTGTACAAGCGTTCAGCGGTGTGTTATACCCAGAGTTCACTCTTAGCAGGGGTAAGAAACCGTCTATACGTGGTTAAAAACGAACCAGAATATTCGTATTTTCCATCGCGCGAGATGGAAACGTACGGGAGAACCAGGAGCTAATATTTGGTAAGCTGGAACTGAATTCGATGGGAGAAATTAATAGCACATGATGTTTAACAATTGCCTACAATCAGTTTTACTTAAAGAGGAACATAGGAGAAAAAGGGATCTGACAAATGGCGACACGAACCAGTGATTTATGGATCTTTCGATTAGTGTCCTTAACCCTTAACTGCAAACTTACATCGTTGCACTTTTTAATAACCAACTGGACGTTATTTTTCGTTACGATTATAGAAATAGTTTGCCACTTACTGAAGGTACTCAAACGTTTACAGATTCAAAATATTTTCACCAGGCTGTGCTAGTGAAATAATTTAAACTCTGAGACGATTCCTCTGTAATTAAGGGTTAAAGATCAAATCTATGACATCCCTAGTTTTCTAAATCTTCTTCGCAGTGTCTGAGGGTCCCAATCCAACAGTAGCGAAAAGATCAATCCCAGCAAATACAAGAGCTTTTGAGTCGATGAACGTGAGAAGCGATAAGTCTTTTGAAAATTACTCACCTCTGGCACAGCTGCTTGGACACACTTAGCCAGATTGAATATTTTTTCGCAGTTGTCGCTGCCGCCTGTAAAATCAGTCCGTGTTAGAATGAAAAAAATATTAGGAGACGTGGTGGTTCGTTTACAGTTTACACCATAGGTTCCCATCGGTGGGCATTGAGAAGACCTTGGGATTGGTGTTCTACAGACTCCTCTCGATTATCGTCTCGAACTAGGATCCGCGGCGGGACAATAATCGTATAGGGAGCAATGCTTCAGACCCCTGAGCCTGAGCCTTGGCAACAAAGTATGTACTTGACAGGTTCCACGGCCACACCCCTCCAGTGGTCAGAACAACGTCTGGACAATAATCGTGTAGAACAAGCCGGACAATAATCGAGAGGAGTCTGTAGTTGCATCTCTTGTTTTCTTTATTTTCAATCTGAACATTTTGACGTTCAAAGGTGACACAAACAAATACAGTTGGGAATTTCGATATTAGCGATAGTTTTTTTAGAAGAAAAAATTTTTTTTTTTACAAAAAATAGCAGACGTACTTGTTGGGGTGCATTTTCCCATAATGTCGGCAGCCGTGGCCTGCAGATTCTCCGGAAGAATACCCAACAGCATCTCGGTCTCTAAGTTAGCATCCTCGTCGACCTAAACCGGAGCGATTACGTTTCCATATGACTTTGTACACCGACGAGCAAACTTGGCTTCTGTTAGGGGAGGAAGCAGCGTATGGGAAGGGCCTCCTACCACTTGGTAAATTTATATCAAGTACCGAAATAAATGTTAAATTAAATGTTAATTTCGTAGAAATTTCAGTAACTTCCGAGACCAAGTGGTAGAAGGCCTCTCCCTTACGCCGTTTCCTCCCCTAACGGAAGCCAAGTTTACTCATGAGGGTACACAGCATCGCGTTTCTCGCTCGGAGAACAAGCTTACCAAACTGAACGCCTCCATAAGGCAGTACATGTAACACGTGATCGACTTGTCGTTTATCAGATTCCCGGCGCTCACTTCTTGGATCTGCGCTGAATCCCGAGTTAACATTATTATTTTGGGGAGGGAAAAATCAGAGAAGTTGTTTTTCACTGATCGTGTGGGGGAAATTGGAGAAATTATTTTTTATTGATCGTATGGGGGAAACTGGAGAAATTGTTTTTCATTGATCGTGTGAAGGAAATTGGAGAAATTGTTTTTCACTGATCGTGTGGCGGAAATTGTTTTTCATTGATCCTATGAGGGAAATTGGAGAAATTGTTTTTCATTAATCGTATGGGGGAAATTGGAGAAATTATTTTTTATTGATCGTATGGGTGGAATTGGAGAAATTATTTTTCATTGATCGTGTGGGGGAAATGATATTGTTTTTCACTGATCATGTGGGCAAATTGGAGAAGTTTGATTTTCACTGGTCATGTTTGGGGCAGAACCGAGCGGTCATCCGTATTCAAATGCCGTCGACGGTGTTGCGACTCTGTCCATGATTTGAATTACTCGCACGAAGTTGAATCGATGTCGACAACTGGGGCTATGGTCTCTTTATAGTTTTGTGTAATAAAACATGATCTGAAAACACTTCCGTGACCGATTACAGGTATGAAAATGGCCACCGATTACGAAGTACCGCGTACATTTCGAACGTACAGCTTATGGTCCGTGCAAATATTAGCTCAACTATTTTATAAGTCAAACTTTGAAAAACAAGCGGCGTAATTTTAGGTTACTATACTTTTGTTATAACGTATTATTTGCCGGTGGCTATTTATGTATTGGTTTCTTACAATAGAAAGACCCCAACTGTCCCACTTCGATTTTAACGGAGTTTCGTGTATATTTGTGATATACTTTATATAGGTGAAATATTAGATGTAGACATTCGATAATTTTAAAAATATAAACAATTAGAGTTACGTACTTTTAGGATGTACTATGAATATAAGTCGAAGTTACCGAAGTGTCAGGATGTTTGGAAGGTAATTACTAATTACTTTATCAACGCAACTTCAATAACTTTTACTTATATCTACATATAGTATATCTTAAAGGTTCGTAACTTTCATTGTTTATATCTTCAAAATTATCGAGTATCTATACCTAATATTTCATATACCCGCCTTACATCCCTATAATATCATTAATAAACAGTTGAATGACAGTAGCATATTACAATCATAAAACACTGTATGAGCACTAATAGTATAATACAAGAATCTCTTTTTAAATCCTAATTGAAAGATTCATGAACAGTTTTCTTGTATCGATTAAGTTCCGAAATTAAGCAGGCCTATTAATAGGCAACCTGTCAGAAAGGTGTCAAGAGGTTTAATTTTTCATAGTTGCAGGTGAGTTTGTAGATTTAGCTACGTCCTAAAAACACGGGTCTCGACAACATTAATCGTAAATAAAATTGTACGTAATGAAAAATTCATTCTTTAACAAGGGACGAAAATCTGTCGTGCCATAACGAAATTTTAATTTCGGAATTCTACTTTACAGAGATTTATAGAAAGTGAATGGTTCTACTAACCTTCCTGTGTACCGTGTTCACCCATGCACCGTGCCTTGTCCTCTTGCACCATTTCGATTATCTCTGGCGGCACCCAGTCCGGCTAACGTGAGAATCGAACCGGTTAATAGTCTTGGCTGGATATTGTTTTTGCGAAGGAATCATTTTTCAGTGAAACTCTTCGTCTCCCTAAACTCTATCCTCACACTTAAACTACTCATTTCAGAACCGAATCCTCACAGTTCTGCTACGATGACGGATTATCGAGACTGTTCCTCTCTATTTTTTTTTTTTTTTCGATTGTATGTTGGAGCTTCCTTTATCTTATCGTCCACAACACATCGCCGATTAGGGAAATCGATTTCGCGGTGTATACTGGCTGGAATCGCGTGTCATTCGTTTCAACGTCGATTAGCATGACCAAAATTAGAGAACCTGGTGGGCAATGTGTTCCGTTAAAGCGGGGGATACTAGAGTTCCAGTCTCCAATTGAGTACAGTAGTCCCCGCTTAAAGGTATCCTTTATAGGATTATATCTACAGTGAGACAAAAACGTATTGATACATCGGTGATTCTAATTATCATTTGACAATGGTGTGTAGTATACTAGTAAATTGAAAATTATTTTTTTGCGATTATTCTGTAATAATTTAGGTTCCTGTCATTGACAGAGTCTGATAGATTTGTACGCAAATATAGAATTTTATGGATTAATTCCTCAAAACTGGAGAAAACTTTATTTATCGTACTAGGGATTTTAGTAAATTTGAAATATAAAGAAAATCTGAATAAACAGTCCGAAACTTTTTACTATACTAAATTCCAGACGATGGTATATGCTATGAATGCATAAAATTCGTGGTCCAAATAGTTGTGAACTGAAGATTGAAAACAGTATTATTAATCGATAGTAAATGTCACCAGTGTATGAATATTTGTTTGTGTCGCTGTATCCATATTTATAGGATTATACCTATTCATAAAAAAATACATGCTAATTTAAAGCAAAATCGCCGAACGAGCTGACGCCTACAATGAAAAGTGCGTTTCAGAAGTGTTCAAAGAACTGGAAAAAAAAACGGTTGCACAAATGTGTTATACTCGATGGGAATTTACTTCGAAGAAGACCAAATCAATATCAATGAATAAATAAATATTTGTAGAAATAAATAAATATACCGGGAACTTTTCGATCAATTCTTCTGTGTACCCGAATGGTCTCCCACGACTCATAATTCACGAAGCGATCGCGTTGAGTTCGATCGGTCAACGAAGTCATCGTCGGCGCGTTTTATCGATCAGGTAATCGAAATCCACCGAGAGAGTAATCGGAGCAAATTGAAACCAGAGTTGGGCAAAATGTAATCTAATTACAAAATCTAAATTACAATGTAATTGCGGGACAATTACAATTACATTGTAATTTTTATTGTAAATTTAGTATAATTATTTGTATGAATATTTAGTATAAATATTAAAGATTATTTGTATAAATATTTTAGTATAAATATTAAAGATTTCAAAGACCCGTTCACCATACTACACCTGTACTACTCCATTACACGTCCATTACTAGAATATCCATCAGTACTCAAGTAAATACTCAAATTAAATCGTAACACATATATATTTGCAGACATGACACCTATGTAATGCAATTTTATTGTAAATTAATGGGCTTTGTCCCATGGAAATAAATATTATTATTACAATTAGTTACAACGTAATTGTACTTGTCTTGCAATTACATTGTAATTGTGATTTACATTTTGTAATTAGATTACATTTTGCCCAACACTTGATTGAAACAGTCGAAAATAAAAATCGAACTGGGGACTACTGGACTGGGCCGCAAAGAGAGTCTGCGTTTCCGGGTACGGGTTTACGTAACGGTCCATGTTTCCCCGCGTGCCCATTTGAATTTCGATCGATACACGCTGCTGCCTTGCGTTCTGTCACGCTCGCCGTGTAACAAGTAAACATTCTCACCGGAGAAAGAGAGAAAGGAAAATAAAATCTGGCGAAAAGAGTGCCCGAGTAACGAGTCCAGGTACCCGTGTGCCGTCGCGATTACACACCGCGAAACTGTACACGCTCCAATTAGGGTTTTCCCTCTAATCTCGAATATCCACTTGCCCCGGGATATCGATTAGCCGGTCGCCCGATCATTCCCGTACACACTCGTTTATTATTTCCGGGCGAGGGCTCTCTCGGGCTCCTCTCAGTATCGGCGAGCAAATTGATTGGAAAATCTTGCTAACCGGTGTTACGTCACAGTGTATTGTAATTCCATCGTTCGTTTCGTAGCTTCAGATACCAGGCAGCCGGTACAGTAAATCCTCGATGAGTGCTCGACTGACAAGGAGAGAGCCTCAGGTTTAACGCTGACTTTTTAAAGAGGTTTAGGAAAGTGATGGAGCTTGGAATTCTGAAGTCAATGTTATTTGTTTCGGACGCATATGGTCATTAGTTTGTGAAATATTTAATGTTCAGGAGTATTCAAACACTCATCGAGGGTTTACTGTAAATGATACTAGGCGTTACGAAATTGGGAGTTTAAAATAAATGTTTTTTTTAGGGGATCTTCTAGTCGATTGAGAATGCTTATGCTAGGTATGAAGAAATAAGAGTGGCTTGAAATATATATTTTTACGAAATATTTTATGAGCAGTAGTGTTTAATAATAATATAATACGTAATAATAAAGATAAACATACTTTTTATTTATTATGTGTAGGTAAAGGTAATGGCGGTCGCATTTAAGTCGATACCAGTTTTCCTATACATATTAATTTTATTGTACCAAATTGCTACAGCATCACCTCGAAATAGTATCCCCTCACTTTCAGTATCCTTTCGCCATTCATGTGGCGAAAGTTGAATTCCCCATCGATTAAATCAGACAAAACCACGGTACCAAATTAAATGCGACCGCCATTACCTTTACCTACACCTAACGAATAGAAAGTGTGTTTATTTTTATTATTACGTATTATGTATATATCTTATTATTGAGACACTACCGCTCATAAGATGTTTCATAAAAATATACATATATTACAAGCCACTCTTACTTCTTCATACCTAGAATAAACGTTCTCCATCGGATAGAATAGCCTCTAGAAAAATATTTACTTTAGACTCCCAACAGAGCCTTCAAATACTAATCGAGGATTTACTGTACTGCATATTTGGATAAGTGTCTAAATACCTATGAGCGGAAATGCACATGAGGCAACACTTCATAGGGTAAATCTCCCAGTTAATTCCAGTGTACCTAATACTGCCACTTTATTAACTTTACTTAATAAAAACGTAACATAAATCCCTCCAGACATTGTACTAAAACGTAGATGATAGAAATTTTATATACTGTAAATTATTCCTAAAAAAGAAACTGTTTAAAGAATGCTTATTTTCCGTCACAGTGGTATTCCCTCTTAATGTGGCAATAATTGGAACGTCTCCCCTATACCGTCCATAAACGGACCACCCCGTATTTCCCCTGGTCCATAACGGACCACCCCGTATTTTCCAACACGGCCTTTGGCGAAGCTTACCACGGCACTAACGAGCGCTGCCTGCACGCACACCAGGCCGAGGAATAGCAGACAGTGTTTGGTATCCATCGTAGTGGATTTTCCTTTTTTTTTTTTTGTTTGGCGGGATTCTCACTTGGTTTGCGACTGACACTTTCGCGGACACGGTAATGCCGCGTTGTCGCGTGTCCAGAGGTTTTTATAACGCGTCCGTTCGCCGCGGGGATGTCTCGCGGCGGGGACGGGATGTGGGCGTGCGTAACAGAGGGGTTAGTACCGTGGCCGTGTGTATCATTCTTCGTTCGTTGATTGAAGCCCTCTGTCATTCGCCGCGGCGGCCGAGCCGCGCCGGATAATTTTCAGCTGCGTAACGGAAGTGCAATTTCGATTACGTGCGACATTACGTCCAGGCGACCGCGACCTTGTCCGTATCCTGTGCTTGGTCCTGATCCTTATGAAACGGAGGGCTGATCGACCATCGAACTCTGCTATCCCTACTTCGTCCTCTTTGGGGATGGAAGTGAACTTTTTTGACCCTTTTGCAAGCCGAGACTCCTTTTGACTGAAAAGGAGCAGGTGTATCAATTCGATGTGTATGCATTTTTCTTTTTTTTTTGTGTGCCTCGTGATTACAATAAATCCTCGATGAGTGTTGGATGGTTCACTGACAAGCAGAAGTCCCTAGGTGTAACGCTGATTTTTTAATGAGGTTAGGACAGTAATAGAGGTTATTTATAAAGGGTGTAACAAAAATGTTGGAGGATTCGGAAATGGGAGACTCGTGAGGTGATTTGAAACAACTTTTTCCTTTGCAAAAATTTCATCCGAGGCTTCGTTAACGAGATATTAACGAAAAACCCCGACCAATGAGAGCGCGAGTCTGCCGGCCGAGCTTTCGCAGTAGCGTTGGATACCAATCGCAGCGCGTAGCCAACGCTACTGCGGGAGCTCGGTCGGCAAACTCGCGCTATGATTGGTCGGGGGTTTTCGTTAATATCTCGTCAATAAAGACTCGGATAAAATTTTTGCTAAGGAAAAACTTGTTTCAAATCACCACACGAGTCTTCCATTTCTGAATCCTCCAACATTTTTGTTACACCTTGTATTTGTTTCAGCTGTATATTGCCAATAGTTTATGAAATATTTAGTGTTCAGTGCCGAGGAGCCTTTGAACACTTATCGAGAATTTACTGTACTCTGCAACGAATGGATCAGTCGAGATGAAACCTTTTGCATCTTGTAGAGAATATTCTCACGGCAGTTCGGTTTGCAAAAAATTAAACTATTGTTTTCATTCACAAATCATGTCCTTCGGAAGAGTCCAAAGTAATTCCCTGTGATTTTTTCGAAACCATCTTACGCTGTCTCATTGGCCCACTAGTATTACTTCCTACACTAAAAAGTACGGAATATAAAAATTTGTTAAAAAAATGTGGATCGATTTCGAAGTGCGCTAAAAATTATAAAATAATTTGTTTTTCGTCTCGTGCCATCCTGGAATGGATAAAATACTGACATAATATTATATTCTCGTGAAACTCGTGTTTCATACTACAATGTATGCTCATAAATGAAACGTGCGAATACATTTGTCCAGCTAAATATATAAAAGAAAAAACTAATTGCATATTCTGTAATATGTAGGTATTTCCGTGTAATTGTATGGACGCTTAACGTCGGACTAAAACCGCCCAGCAGGGCAGAGCTTTTTGTTACATCACCGTAACAACAGACAAAAACGTCTGGGTCTGAATTCATTTGTCCTGATGCTGTACATTTTACGACGATATATGTCGCTGTAGCAGCGCCCAGTGAAGTACAAAGGGTTAATATTTCCGTGAAAGTAGTCTCGGAAAATTTACGTGGATCGTTCCACTTCAGAATTTTCAGGCAAAGATTTTATAACTTGTCTTCGTTACCTTCGTCTTCGGAAGTATACTCCTCGAGGCAACGATCGGCTCCACAATCGTACGGATCGTTCGGGGAAATTTCTTTTCGGGGCGACATCCCTGGGAAACGACCGTAGGAAAGTGTCGTTTCGTAAAACTACGATCAAAAGTTAAGAGCGCAGTCCCACGAAGTTTTCCCCGAGATCGTTCGAATTTTCCGATTTCATACCCGTTTCCGTCTGAGAAGTCTAAAAAGAAGTGTTTTGCCGTTTTTAAATTGCGCGCTGAAAATTTTTTTATTAGTCACGTATTATTGTAACGAGTTTTCTTCTGAAATTGTATATTTTTTATTCCTTTCAAAGAACTTTGTACGAGAGATGTCAGCCTTACAATTGTTTCTTTGTCCACTGTGTATTTTAGGCGAAACGCACCGATCGCAAAGTGAATTGTCTCGATATTACTCTGAGAACAATCAGCGAAGGGATAAAAGAGTGAAACGAGCTAACGGGATTGGCTTTTGATAAAACCATTCACTGAAGGAATACGCCAGTATTTTATTTTATAATTTATGAATTAATGTCCATTTATGTAGTCTATGAATAATAGATGTACATGTTTACAAATGAATGCTCTTTGACGTGCTATATTTTCCGGTCAACTCTGGTTGTGGTCTTGTAAACGATAGCTGGTCTAGCGCTGATAGGGTGGGCATAAGAAAAACGAGAGGAAACGTGGTACTAATGGCCATTTCTGATTTATTTTTCTTACGGACGATAATATTATAGGGAACAAGTATTAAAAGCACGTTAATAATAGATGTCTATTATTAACAGATGTTGACAATTTGAGTGTGCTCACAGCATTGGATTAGCTCGTACTATTAATTGTATTGGGGGAAATAGGGTGTGCCTATTGATCCAGAATTGGAGAAAGAATGTATTTGTGTCTCGTCCAGAGGGTCAAGGGGTTACAAATAGTATCTGTATACAAAGACGAAATTGTTGGTTGTGGAAGAATAATGTATTTCAGTATTTGAAATTGATATCGGATCTCGTATACAGAATACTTATGTATCAAATTGCTTTGCTTAACTCTAGGACTACCAAACTCGTCAAAATGATTGATTCCAAATTTCTTGTTTTACAATTACCGAAAGTATAAAAAGACTTTTGACGTTGAATTCACGTTGACTTTTAGTTGATTATACTATATTATGTTATATCGTATTATACATTATGCACATTAACATACTATACCATTTAATTTAACATACATTCAACGCTGGTAGTTCTGCTGTTAACAATACTTCGAAACAAAACAAAAAAATAACCATTGTCGCTGCAAACTTCGTCGTTGTCCCTAGTAAGTGAGCTAGCATATCTGCTGTGACTACTTGAAATTACACACAGCGTTCACGTCGAATTCTTCTAGTCATTGGTTCCCGTGCTATGGCTAATTTTTCGTGATTAATATTTGTAATTCTGTTAGAATGAACTGCTACGTCAACTTACTACAACCGATTGTTGTCGGCGATTCGATTATCCGTAACACGATTATTTTCGAGTTAGAGTGTTGATTATGTAAGCATTTAAGCATTACAATGGTGATAATAGAAGGTAGTAGTTGAAATCCATAATAGTAGACGTCACGCGATTAACGGATCGAAGATGGAAAGCATTTCGAATTCGCTGCGTTATTTTTGTTGAAATTTCACTCTTTTGTGAATTTTCATTGACTTGATGCTCTTATTTTCGTATTAGCGGAATAAACGGATAGTTACTTATTTATTTATTTAAGAAACAAGAGTAATGAAGATCAGGACGGATCTTACAATTAAGCGAATCTAGCAAATGAGCCCTATTAATGTGATAACTAAAGATTTTCAAAAGAAATGTCAAACTAGGAACCTAAAAATGATTCTGTATGTCGGCGTAATTTACGACGTAGCAAAAACTTTGCAATCTTATGAAAATAATTAATTATATAGTTTATTTAAATCGAATAATTATGGCACCTCCTATTCTTGGTACTTTATGTTATTAATATTGAGTACAAAATAGACTAAACAAATCACCACCCTAACTGTAGAAATAAGAGAAGAATTATTCGAATAGTAGTTGTTCAGGAAAAAGTTCTCTCAATCCCATCGTTCTAGCGATATTCAAGATGGTACTCTTTCATAGTCCACCTCGTATATCGATTTACTCCTGTTACATATGTAATAAATAAATAACTAAATATACAATTCTAAAACGATACACTATGGGGGTGGAACCGTGGATGGTTCTCTCTACGGTGTTGTATAATCCACAAACTTCCAATTTGGTCCTACAGGTGCTATTACCGTCCTCTCTAAATTTGACTATTACATAATCCCCAATCTCTTCCGCATACTCGGTTCTATATACTTTAATCTCTTTATTCATTTCACGGATTGTCGATATCTACCAATCACCCCATTTCATTCCATGAAATTTCTGTAACGTGTTCACTTGTCCAACGAATTCTCGTTTCGCTTGACTTACCGAATAGTGAGACACAGGGAAATCGTGGGTATAGCCGCAACGACTCGTTACCAACGCGTAATTTGTTACAAAATCACGATCGATCGACATCCCTCCACCCCACTCCACTTGCCATAGAAGCATACAATATATCACTTATTCAGTGAATTCGCAAGGTTCGCCGGCAACGGACGGTAAAGTTGCGGCTGTTTCAGAAGTTTTCGCGCGAACGATCGAGAATCCCGTTTCCTGTAAACGTATAGGTATATACTGATAAACAAAACCTGGGTATCAAACCACGTTTACAACTTTAACAACCACCGCAGCAGTTATTTTATCTTTTGCACTCGATTGTTGCCTTTGAAGGGGAAAATGTCTAGGAAATTAGGTAATTCCGAGTAGAAAGGTCACTGAGACGAATTTGAATTTCTTTTTTATTATCACCACCTGGTGGAGAATTTCGGAAATTTTGGACGTTTGTGCACCTTCAAATCGACAGTAAGTGGGCACACTATTTTCGAAACGATCACGAAAAATAACTAGACTGCAGATGTTTATGTAAATATGGTTCAGGTGATCCAATTTATCGAATCCTGAAATCAGCCAACAATTGAATACTTTAAGGCATCCCTAGAGCACTAAGAACTGTTTAATCTTAGTTAATATTTTATTAAAAATTTCCTATTGCGACTAATTTCATACTGTATAATATATTGATGTAACAGTTTCTAATCTTATTTTCATTAATTTTTATGTATGTATACT